AGTTTGCCCCTGTTTGGGTCATACACCGGCATTGAGACCTCCGTTATTCCTCTTTCAATCATGAAGTCTCGTAGTCTTGTTAGTGCCAACATCACGTGTTCGGGATCAATTGTGTTCCTGTCATTGACCCTCGTCACTAGGAAGCACAGATATTTGCCCGGGACTTGTGCTACTGATGGTGGAAGCGCTGCCATCCCTCCTAGTCCTGGTCTCTGTCTGAACAGAAACTCCACGTTCTGGTACTCTCTTCTGAAGTCAGCTTCCAATCTTGATTTGAAAATCATGTCCGCCGTGATGCAGATCGCGCTAGTCCTCTTTGACAGGATGAAGTCACTATCCGTTATCATGATGTTCTCCGAGTACTCATTGGGTATTTCAAATTTCGTTTTGAAGTTCCGACCTATGGTAGGCTCCGGCTCTTCCTCTTCCAGTTCCAGTTCGCTTGTTTCTCTCACTTCCTTGAGCTTCTTTATCATCAATATTTCGGTGTGGGTAAGTCCTACCCCCACTCCCCGGACAAAAATATTTATCGACGTCCCCGTCGATGTTGTCGGGTCTGAATTGTCCTGAGGAATGTCCAGTGGCCTGTCTGTTGCCGTCCATCCGAAAAGAGGGTCCTCTGTTTTCATGTAATTTGCCGCTGATACATCGACTTGTTGAATGCTTTGTCCTTCGTGGCTCTCGTCTTTGACATCGCGCATCCACTCTAGTATCCTCAAGTTCGTGTTCTCCCTCCTCTCTATCTCACTCTGCTCGAGATCCGTCTCTAATTCCGGCGTCGAGTGCTCTTCCTGCGGATAGTGTCCACCATCGTCAATGACCTGCCATTCCTCTCCGGCTTCCAGTTCGCCCGCGCTCAGTAGTTCCTCGCCCAATTTGTCTAGCTGTATCTTATCGATCAAGAAGTCATCCCCGTACCTGTTGTACCTCATGCCGGTGCGTTTACGATTGCCAGTCCTGGTTCCCGGTGGTATCGGTCGATCCGGCTCCATCCACTTCGGCACCTCATCTTGCTCCGGGTCGTTCCAGTCTTCTTCTACAAATGATCCTGCATCAGACTCCCCTCCTATCTTTTCGTTGTCGTCCAGACTCAAGTTCTCATTACCATCATTTTTCTCTCTGGTGCCTTTTTCATTCTTTTCACACGCTGGCTCTACCACCAGGTACTCAAGACCCTCCATGTCCTTCGGTATGCACCAATCCTCTGGGGACGGGACGTGAGGCTTCAGATTTTCATAATGTGCCGCTCGCCCAGTACTCAAGCGATAGAACCGTCCTTGTTGATGAACCTCCGTTATCATGAATGGTCCCCTCCACTTCTTGAGTAGTTTCTTTGTTCCCTTGGGCGGTATGACATTTTGGAAGACCCACACGTATTGGCCCACTTCATATGGCTTTGCTCGTAAAATTTTTTCGTCATATTTCCTGCGTTGCCTCATTTGCGCTTGCGCCGTGTTCCTCCTGCATAGCTCGTTCAACTCCTGTTGTCTTTTGATCGCTTCTTTCACGTACGCCTGAGGTGACGTCCTTTTCCCTTCGTATTCCGGGTAAAAAAATGTCAGAGGCATTGCTCTCCCTGCCCGTCAACATCATGAAAGGACTGATGCCCGTCGTTGAGTGCTGTGTACTGTTGTAGGCTCCTACTACCTGTGGCAGATATTTGTCCCAGTCCGTCATGTATCTTGAGCAGTACACCCTTAACATGTTGACCAGTGTCCTGTTCTGTCTCTCTACCAACCCATTGGTCTGTGGATGATAGGTCGTCGAGTGTGCTTGAGCAATGTGCGATCTCTTCATCAATTCTTTTGTCAAGTCCCCCACGAAAGCTTTGCCGTTGTCCGACTGGAAAGTCATTGAACAACCATACCGCGATATTCAATGCGTTATCAGATGATCACATGTCTCTTCGGCCGAGGCTGTCTGGCACGGAACCGCTTCCGCCAACTTTGTGAAGTGATCTATTATAACCAGTATCTGGTTATATCCCGACTCTGTCATGCAGATTTTTTGATGGCCTATCTGCACCACTTCATTGAACTCTGAGCTCTCAACGGACTTGAGGGGAAACTTCATCTTCCTTGGATCTTTTACCTGGAGACATGCCAGGCAGGCATTCACCCATCTCTCGCAAGCTTTTCTCATTCCTGGCCAATCAAACCTGTGAAGTATCCTTTGTTGTACTTTGTCTATCCCCTGGTGGCCCATCTGGTCGTGTGATCTGAAAAGCACCTCCGTCTGGTACAATTGTGGTAGTATGATGAGGTTGTGTTTGTGTAATATCTTTTCCTCATCTCTCCTTTTGCACGCTACCACCCCATCAGCTGTGTGATAAAGTAAGTCTTTCTTTTCTTTGTAGAACTGGCTCAAGATCTTGTAGCTGTCTTCCTCAAGTTCCCCCTTCTCCTTGACCCCCGACTGGATCCATTTGGAGAGGTTACTTGTCATTTTGTCATTCTTCTGGGCTCTTATTAGGTCTGACAGCCTATATCTCGCCTTGACATGCTCCTTTAGCGCCATGATCTGTCCATTCATCTCACCAGGGTTGTGGATGTCATCACTCAGTTTCACGAATATCATCCTTTTCACGATTTTCATATCATCTTCTGGCACCAGATTCGTTCTGATGTTTGAGTTGCATGATAGTTCCCTGAATGGTTTCCTTGCGACCGCAATTTTCTCAAGTTCCTCACCACTTCGCATCTCCTGTATGTCCATGTTGTATGTTCCTGAAGATGGATCCGTCTGTAACTCCCTGTCGTGGTGCCTTGTCTTCTCTTCCGTCAATATCATGCACAGACTGTCTTGGTTTTCGCTGCTCTCATCCGAGTCTTCATCCCATCCTTCACGCTCCCCGGACAATTTTCCTTCTCCGGTTCCTTCTTCCGTGAACCTGGAACACTCCCCGGACTCTTGACCTAGTCCCAGGTGTTCAGTATCTTCTTTGAACGTCACTTTCTTTTTCCTAACCTTGGTCTGCTCCAGAATGTCTTCGGGGATTTTGTCAACTAGTGACCGCACGACATCTTTGCTGTCAGTGACGCTTCCTCTTGATGAGTCAGTATCGTTCACTGTCTCTTTTCTCCGAAGTATAGTGAATTCCGGTTTCTCTTGACCCTTCTCTTGGATCACGGGCTTATCATCTGATAGTTTCTCGAGCAACCTCATTAAGTCATCATCTATCTGTGCAGTTCCTGCTTCCACCTGGTTAAGATCATAGCCTTTTGCCTTGAGCGTCTCCTTCACGATCTTCGACTTGAGTATAATCTCAATCGGAATCCCCTTGCTCTTCTTCAAGATGGTATTCTCTGGAGGCTCTTTAGGCAATTCAGGATGATCTTCTATCGGTTTGCCTGACTTGTCCAGCCATCTCGTGAGTGGAAGACTGTCGTACGTTTCCTTGTCCATGAATGAGAAGCCATCTTTGATTTCAGGTCTGTCTGCTTCTCTTTGCTCTTGTCTCTCATAGAACTCCGTCTTCTTACTCAAGCTGTCGGCATTCTGATGTTTATTTCGCGTTCTATGCTCAATTATCATGTTGTATCCGTCCAGGCGAACTATCCACCTCCCAATGTAACTTTGGTCCATTGAGTACGTTTTCAGCCAGCTCAGTGCTCTGTTGTCGACTCGCAACTTGAATGGCTCACTGCACAGGTATGCCCTGTATTTCTCGACAAAGGTAACCACCGCGAACATCTCTGCTTTCGGTGCTCCGTACTTCATTTCCGTGTCACTCAGGACTTTGCTCCCGTACGCTATTGGTCTCAAGACTGTCTTCCCATTCCATTCTTGTTCTTGGTGGAGAATCCCAGAAATCGCGACTACCGACGCATCCGTGTCCAGCACGTACATCCCTTTCTCAGTCGGCATACCCAGTACTGGTGCCTCACATAGCTCTTTCTTTATTCTCTGGAATGACTCTTCTGCTGCGTTGTTCCACGTGAACTTCTTGCCCTTGTGTCTCATTAGTTGTTGCATCGGGTATACTTTGTCTGCATAGCCTTTGATGAACTCTCTATAATAGTTAGCGAAACCCAGGAAGCTCATCAACTGGTGCTCTGTCTTCGGTGATTTCCAGGTCAGGACTGCTTCCACGGCGTCCGTATCAGGTCTGATGCCGTGCTTGTCTACCATCCTGCCCAAGTATTTTATTGAGTCCTTGAGTATCTCGCACTTTGATGGTTTACACTTTAGCCCCGACCTCTTCATGCATGCAAACAGTTCGTCAAGTCTCTCAATGTGGTCTACCAGTGTTGGCGTCGCTATTACCACGTCATCCACGTAGCACATTACCAGGTTGCCATACTTCTTCGTTACGCCTATCAGCGCGTGTGCCATCAACCGCTGAAACGTGGCTGTGGCATTGCAAAGTCCAAACGGCATCCGTTTCCATTGAAACAGACCCAGCTCGCAGGCAAACCCTGCCTTGTCCCTGTCCTGCTTCCTTAGCGGTACTTGCCAAAAGGCCGAGCCTAAATCAAGAGTCGTAAAAAATTTTGCATCACCTAACTTCGAGAGGCTCTCATCAATCCTAGGTATGGGATAGGCATCCTTCACCGTGACGGAGTTCAGGTATCGAAAGTCACAACAAAACCTCAACTGGTCGCCTTTCTTTTTGGCCATCACTACTCCACACGCCCACGGTGACTTGGATGGTTCTATCATGTCATACTCTAGTAACGTCTCGATCTCTTTTCTACACGCGTCCGATTTTTGTGGGGTCATGCGCCTCGCCCCCTCCCTGTGTGGTACCGCGTTTTCCTCAAGTTCTATTTCATGCTCAACGAAATTACAACACCCGATATCCGCCTTATGCCTCGAAAAAACTTCCTCGTTCCGCTCTAGTACATCCTTGATGGCTTCGAGCTGTTCATCTTTCAGTTTGCCCCTCAAATGTTCAATCTCCGGCAGGACTGGTTTTTCATTTTGCATTTCATCTAGTGTGGGTCGCTCTGGAAAGTTCGAACAGCTCGACAGCCCATCATCCGTTTCTGACTTAAGTGATTTAATAAGACCTGAAGAATCTTTTATTTTCTGCAATCGTCTCAAGATACAAATTTTGTCCCTGTGATTGGGACAATCAACAACTTCATTTTGTTTTGAGTTCTCAATTGTTTCATATCGAGTTTTAACCGGTAAAGCATATCCCAGTTTCCTCCCTCTCTGTATCGTGATCGGTATATCAAGGGTATTCATTAAGACACTGACGCAGAGGCCGCTCTTCGTTATCGAAAATGATCTTCCTAAAACAGCAGCACTTTGACTATTAGGATTCGGAACTATACACACTTGCTTGTTGTCACTTAGTTCATTGTAATTTTTCATCCTCAAACTTACGATTACCGCTTCATTAGCTTTTAGCCTCACCCTCCTACTCAAGAATACCGGTGCTTTGTTTTCATTTGCCATTATTAAATTTACCGGTTTGATTGCGTACCTCCTATCCGGGTTCCGTATCCTGAACATTGCGTTATTTAGGTCAATCGTTACGTCGAAATTCCTGATGAAGTCTCTGCCCAAAATGAATTGGTCAGATTCATCTAGGTTTTCTACCACGATAAAGTTCATCCATAGGTTACGTTCCCCCAAATTGAGGGCTATTATCGGCGTCCTGCCCAGCACCCGAAGGGCCCCCTTGTTTGCAGCTGACAGCCGTATTCTCGAGTCTATCAAGTCACCTTTGTCAAAGCCCATCCTTTCCCCAAGTTTCGATTGGTATGACGCTCAAGACTGCTCCCGTGTCAAGTAACCCAAGTAGTTGAGTCTTTTTGCCACTTATGTCTAGCACGTGCCCTGTCACATCTGCCTCTGTCCCGATGTGCATCGCATCTTCTTCAAGCATAGCGCAGTGTCCAATCGATCTCACTTTCAACTCTTCTTTCCCTACGTAGATTTGCCCAATTAGGTCTTCGTCACATGTTATCATTGTCTTGGTATAGATGTTTATTCCATCTATATTTAGCATCACCTCGTGTGGACCATAAGCTTCAGTATATCTGTTATCAACCCGTACCGACTTGCTGCCCCCTCTCATGAGTAGTGCTCTCAGCGCTCTAGAAGTTGTTTGTGGGCTTATACCACTCAAGTAATCTGCGTACACGTCAATGTGCATTATTGTCTGGTCGCTCGGTTCGCTCAAGTTTCTGGTTACCTCGTGGCCGCCCACTGTGATTATCGACATTATTCTCGCCCCAATTTTCGATATGCCGAATGGCTTTCCCGTCACCATTTTCACAGTGTTACAATTCCCGGTTTTTGTTGAGCCCGGTACAGCCTCTGGTGTTGGGTTCGATCCGGTTAATGCTTCGTTAAAATTCTGTCTTTCGATCTCCAGCTTTAATCGTTGCTCTATTTCTTTCGCAGCCAGATCCTGTTTCACTTTGGCAATTGCATCCGTCGCCGCTTTCTCATAATTTATCTCTAGAGAATTCCCGGCCGCGGATTCTATCGCGCCATTAACATGTGTTACAGCTTTCACTGTCTTCGTTGGCAATTCCGTGCTTGGTGCTCCTAAGTTCCTCGATTCAAACTCGTTTTGCCTGTTCCGCTGATTCTGCACCGCCGCTAATGCCAACTTATGTTTACGGTGACTCTGGTCCTTGACCGCTTCCCAGAACAAGGGACAATCCATTCTGAAGTGCCCCTCCTGGTTACAGAAGAAGCATCTAGCGCCTATCTTGATGATTAAGCCATTATAGTACTCGTGTTCCTCCATCTGGCTCATGTCCTCCTCATCCGGTGCGTATCCTAGGCTCTTCATGCCTTGTTTGTATGCTGTGCAGTCAGCCACGTGGTGGTCCGCTGACCCGCAGTTCGCGCATGATCTGCGCTTGTCCATATCATCTCTCGGTTTGTACCATGATGACCTCTGGGGTTGGCCTCCCCCCTGTGTGTTCCTGTTTTCTGAATATGAGTACTTCTTGGGCTTCTTCAGCATGTATTCCCTTGATTTCTGTCTCATTTCTTCTGGGGTTGGTGCGCTGTCTTTCGACAATGTGTAGTATGTTGCTAACATTGTCCTTAAGTCGTCACTTTTTACCCAATCAATGAACTTCGAGGCAATGCTGAAGTTTCTTCTGTTTGTCGACTCCTCTGGGTCACTCCTTCTTCTCAAGCTCTCGAGATCATCTAGGAACCGATCTATTGACTCGTCGTCCCTCTGCCTTCTCTTTTCAAATCGCATCATCGCTTGGTGACCCTTCATGCCTGACCCGAATCGATTCAGCAATATCTCGAAGATCTTGTCCGCGGTGTCGCGTTCTTCTTCTTTCTTTGCGACCACGCATTTTAATGCCGTGCCTTCTAAGTTGCTGAGTATGGCTGTGCATGCTTGTCTTTCATCATTTAAGTTATCTTGCTCTAGGTTTAATCTCATCACTTCCACCCAAGTGTCGATACATCCATCGGAGTCGTCTTTGAATTCCTTAGGCTTCTTGAAAGTTTTTCTTGATTTTCCGTCCCTCCTATCGCTCAAGTCAGTGTTCCTCGTGGCGAAGGCCTCTAGAGTCCTGTTCATCATCTCCTAAGTGCTTGCCCATGTCATAGCATCCGGACCTGCGTTGCTGTTAGCTGTTGAGTCCCCCGGGCAAGTCGTTGTACTTGACGTTCCATTCTTCATGATTGTTTTAGCAGCTGTTGGTGCTATGCTCACCGTATCCCGGGTTAAGGGCAACGGTGTCGATTGCCGTTTGCCCCTTTGTGGTTCCACAAAGTCAACTCTGGTGCCTTGCGTGCGTTCCGCTGCCGGTCTTTCTTGTGAGGTAGAATTTCTCAAGATTGCATCCAATTTCGTCTGTATTGCACATGAATTTTCGGCCTGATTCTTGCTCATTGTGTCCATTCTCTTTTCCAGGCTACCTAATTGGCTGTTGACATCATCATATCGGTTTTTCAACTGTTGCATATCTTTTTTGATGTTCTTATCTCGTTCTTCATTGGTGGTTTCTACCTTATCTGACATCTCCTTGAGTCTCTCATCTGTTGCCTTAGCCAGGTTAAAATAACTATCCAGATACTCGTGTTTGTTGTATCTTAATTCTTTTCTTATCACTTCTCTGTCCTCTTCGCTGTGCTTCAGTTTTTTGTCGATCTGATTCAGTTTCGCCATCAAGTCACCTAGTTCAATAGAAGCCTCTTCATGGTCAGCCGTCGGTCTGTCCTCGGCCGTAGCTTCTGCTTTATTTTGTTCCTCTCTTGGATTGGCTTCTGTCGTCTTCGTGCTCACTGTCCCAAATGTTCGTGCTCTTTCAGCTTTTGGTTCTTCAGTCATGTTTTCTTTCGTTTTTATTCCGACCATCATCGCCAACCTTTCTGTAAAAGATGTCTTTTTTACTTGAGAGTCTTCTTTCACCGTCTCTTCGGTGTTGCCTATTGCATCTTCCACATTGTCTATTGGTGAGAACTCTATGGGTTTCGGGTTTGGTTCTTCTGCATTGGGCATTGGAGTTGACTCCGTCGTCTTTTTCTCCAGTTCATCTACGCTCTGGTCTGGTGTCTCTAGGTCGATTTCGATTGTAGGCTCCACCTGTTTTTCCCTCGCATCTTCTCGCGTCTTGCTCTCGGTGCCACTCCTCGTGCTGACCATGCTAACTGAAAAGTTGCTTTTTGTTTTGCTTGGGCCCCTTGATGTCGTTCCACGCAGCGACGAGTTATATTTCGTGTTTGATCCACTCGACCTTTTTTCAAGCACCGGTACCCTACTCCGTCTCATTATTTCTATTTACAATTGCTCTTATTTACAATATTATTATATACACAATTCTATTCTAAGAATAAAAAAAAATTTGTGGAAACAAATTCTTAAATGAAAATATACAACGTGATAAAAACCTTGTTCCAGTTCTCTAAAATCTTCGAGTAACTTTCTTTATTTGTTGTCCCAACCGTACCGGGTTCCAATTAGTCTTGTTCTGTCTTAATTCTGTCTTAAAACAACTTGTTGTAATTTTACTTCAATTTTTATACTGTCCTAAGACTTCCAGTTACCGTCCCTACTCTTCTTTGTACCGTCCCAGGCTTCCTTCTGCTGTCCCAAGACTGTTCGGTATTGTCCCAGTACTTCGTCAGTGTCCCAAGACCCTTGTCCTGAGAGTACTATCCCAAGGCTACTGTCCCAAGGCTAGTGTCCCAAGACCAGTGTCCCAAGACTGCTGTCCCAAGGCTAGTGTCCCAAGACCAGTGTCCCAAGACTACTGTCCTAAGGCTAGTGTCCCAAGACTACTGTCCCAAGGCTAGTGTCCCAAGGCTAGTGTCCCAAGACTACTGTCCCAAGGCTAGTGTCCCAAGACTACTGTCCCAAGGCTAGTGTCCCAAGGCTAGTGTCCCAAGACTACTGTCCCAAGGCTAGTGTCCCAAGACTACTGTCCCAAGACTACTATCCCAAGGCTAGTGTCCCAAGACTACTGTCCCAAGACCACTGTCCCAAGACCCTTGTCCCAAGACCCTGTCCCAAGACCCCTGTCCCAAGACCACTGTCCCAAGACCCTGTCCCAAGACCCTTGTCCCAAGACCACTGTCCCAAGACCACTGTCCCAAGACCCTTGTCCCAAGACCCTGTCCCAAGACCCTTGTCCCAAGACCACTGTCCCAAGACCACTGTCCCAAGACTGTATCAAGACTGATCTGGTCCAACACTGTCCCAGGACTTCTTTGGCACTGTCCCAAGACTGTTGACAAGTGTCTGAGCGGTGGGACCTCTTTCTTCTTCGTTATGGGGACTTCTTGATTCACTGTACCTTGTACCACCACTCAAGCTCTAGTAAAATTTTCCCAAAAACCCTCTCTTAAAAGCCAAATGCTGCCCCCCCTTTTTCTTATTTCTTTTTAATTACCTCTCTTTCAATGTTCCAAGCAACTTGAGACCAAAACCTGTGCGCAGGTATCTTGTGATCACCTGTTCGTATAAAAACTAAACACAAATCCTCACCAAAATGCAACAAAAATCCAAGCTAGAAAAAGTAATAAAAACGGAAAGATGAATCCACCTAAAATTCAAAGGTGACAAATGTCTACCTTCTATCGAAAAAATGTCTGGTACCTAATTGCCACGCGTTTCCTTCCCCCCTGCTAGCGATCTTATGGGGTATCACAAAAACTGTCTATGTCCGTTCCCCCCTACCGATCCGACCAGGGTACCTCTCTTAACCTAATTCCAATTTTGGATATCCGCTTCCTATGACCAACGCGTGTAAATGACTAATGTAACTAAATCAACGATGTCGACTAATTAGTTACTCTAATTTCCCCCTTTTTACAATTTACAACCGCCAACCTCTAACTTAACCAGCCCCCCTTCTAACCTCCCCCCTTTTTAGCCCCCCTTCTTAAACCTAAAATTACCTTTAGCGGCGGGTGCTAAACCTCTCAAGAGAAAACCGTAGACCTGTCTCCAGGCCTGCTCAAGTAAAAACGTTTCTCAAAACCGGGGGATATCGCTTATCCAATTTTACACTTATTTCCTATAATGTAATGTGAATTTTAACGATACCCGTTCTGCCCAACTTGAGAACTCGAGAACTGCCAAATCCTTCTTGGCTGCTTTCCCACTCGACTGGTCACCTCTTCCAGTCCAGTCTCCTATTGGTTCAGCTCAAGTGCTCCTGAACCACTTTCCCACTCGGCTGGTCACCTCTTCCAGTCAAGTCTCCTATTGGTTCAGCTCAAGTGCTCCTGAACCACTTTCCCACTCGGCTGGTCACCTCTTCCAGTCAAGTCTCCTATTGGTTCAGCTAAGTTCCAAGCTATCTGAAAACCCTTGACAACGCCCCACACTCGGGCTCTTTATTAAGGTTACTGGGTTAAATTACTAGGTTGATCGAAACGATCGAACTTGTAAAACAGTATGGGTATACTATTTAATTAATATAAAGGTTTGATCCAACTAATCTGGTGTCAAAGTCACTGTCTTTTTTCGTTTTATGGTTTTTGATCCTTTTTCTATTCTTTTTTGGTTTTTGTTTTGCTTTTTGTCTTTTTGTTCGTGTTTTTGTCCCCCTAGTTGCCCCCCTTTACTCGGTTAGCTAAGCCTCGTTCGGAGAGCGTACCAGGAAGTTTTCTCGAGTTTTCTTAAAAAGCTATCACGGTACAACCGGAAGGTTTGCACGTTCCTGTCGAACCGCACCGCCGGTACTCTAGAATGGGCATTCAGCCCGAAGCTGTCTCAAGTGGGTTCGACTCCGTAGTCTTGATGTCGTAAACACCCATGAGCGCCATAAAAACACTATGTAACATTCGTCTACTGCAGTCACACATGAGGCTTAAGAAAAATAGGCCCTATAACTATTGGCTCAAGAGTCAGGGACACTATCTCTTGTGTTTTTCTACCTCAAATCAGTCGGAGCCAATTCGGTTCGTTGGTGACATGAGACTACGACCCGTTACAGCTTAAAGGCTACTACTAAAATATCCCCCCACTCTAGAATTAGGAACGTCCCCATACTTAGGTCTCTAGATACCCAAAATACATGAACGCCGTTAAAAACCGGGTCGGAACAATCCGTTAAGTTACTTTTTATTAGACAGTGGAACTTTGATCCATTTCAGATGGATCAACCTAAAACTCGCCTTACCTCAACATAACAATTATAAAACACACTCTAGAAATTTAAATTAGTACTCACATTGCAGCACGCTCAAGAATTGGAAGTACTTCAGTCGGTAATTAACTCGAGAATTAAATAATGTAACTAAAATGAGTTTAATGTTTGTCAGTTTTAACAACAAGAACAAGTTTGTACTCTAGACTGTAGTTTCTCGTGAACCATTGGGACACTCAAGCTGTCCACCTTTCGACCGAAGGTTCACTCTAGTCCAGTTTAGAATAATACTCCAGTCAAGTCACAATAATCCAGTTTGTGGGAATACGCTTCTTTCTGTTTCGAATGGGACAGCTCTACTCTAGATTATTACTGTGACGGAAATTGCGAATAGCAATTTCCTACTGATTTATCTTGCAACTTTCCCGCGATTGTCACTCGATTGTTCTGACTTCTCTTTTTTGACTTTCAGTTATCGCGAGAAAATCGTGCATGACAGGCTCCATTCGAATTTTTGAAAAATTAAATTTCACTCCAAAATCAAGTGTTTTTCGCTTTTCTCAAGGAAAAATTAAATTTCACTCCAAAATCAAGTGTTTTTCGCTTTTCTCAAGGTTAAACTTCCAAATATGACCGACTGGCGCAAAACTTTAAAAAACTTTCAATTTGCAATAGTGTTGTTTCTCGTTTCGACCTTTGATTATACTTTTGCCCTTCTGATTATAATTGATACGCTTATTTGAACTATTTCATTTCGTCAAAAATGTTGATCGTTTTAGTTTAAGGCTTTGATTCGCAGACGAAAATGAGTGAAACTTCATAGCAATAATCTGTCACCGTTAAAATGAAGGCAAAACAGAAAGCGTTTGTCAAGATCCTGATATTAGCTGGAGTTGTATATATGCTAATAATGTGTGCAATTTACCGAACAAGCTTTTCCGACCCCTCACCTGAGCCAGAGACCAGATATCGCAAAAAAGTAGCCGTCATCAAAAATACTGAGCCACCGCCGCATCCCTGCAAAGAAGGAGATGTCAAATGCGAGCAGCGCGAGAAAAGGGCCAAAGAAGCGAAAGAAAATGGCCAAGTTAGCTGGATAAGGGGTTGGTTAAAAAATATATTTTATAAAATAGTTATGCTGTTGGTCCGCTATGTTTCGCTTTCTTTTTAACTTCATTAGGGAACTAGACTTCATTTACCCCCATAAAAGACTCCTGATACATATCTGTAAAAAGTTGGCATCGAAACTTCTTTAAATTGCCTGCTCTTTCCTACTGGTCTTGTGGTAAAGCGGCGTGTACCTTCAGATCTTAAAATTTTGGGTTTCAGTCTTGGCCGGACTTCGTTTTTTGAATATGAATATAAATTGAATTTTTTATAGGGAAGTTTTGAATTGTCGGACTACGTTTTTATATACATTTTTAGTTGGTCCGCAAATTTTGAATGCTAATTTATTTTTGTTGGTTGTTTTTTTTCGGCTTGTTTTTCAAGTTGAACGTCATTCGGGACAAATGTATAGAGTTTTTAGTAGAACTAGTGTTTTTCGACAATTTTTTGTGATATTTGTGGCTTCGCCTCGTTTCCTATTCGCTAGCTAGCGAAGCTATGTTTTTGATGCATTGAAAGTGTTGCAAACCTCTTCTTGATCGCTGTTTCATTTCATAAAGTTTCAGGTTTCTGGGACAAGCTTGTATCCTCGTTCCCAGATGGGCCCGGGGAAGGCGGTAAAGCAGTAGTATTGAGTCAACGCGACGATAAAATTGCCAAGGAGCGTTTCAAAGAGAACCAATTCAATGTTGTTGCCAGTGAGAAAATATCGCCCAACAGGACTTTACCTGACTATAGAAACTCACAGTAAGTTAAATTTTAATCTGTTCTTAAATAGCTTGGTGCCTATTTTTGAATTTTTTTAGCTGTTGGGTTTTCTTTGGGCATTCTTGCATGCAATTTCAACCTCTGTTTTTGCACAATTTTTTTGTGCTTCCTGTTTGTTTCGAAATTTCTAAGTTTTTGCGATTATGTCACCCCCACTTAAGTACCATGGCGATAAGGTTTGATGCTAAGTGTTTTCTTTTGTTTCAGTTGCCGGGCGAAGCAATATCCAACAGCATTGCCAGTTGCAACAATCATCATTGTTTTTCACAACGAAGCTTGGTCAACATTGATACGCAGTTTATATAGTATATCTAGCAGAACGCCTCATCATTTAATCAAGGAGATCATTTTAATCGATGATTTAAGTGACAGAGGTAAGTTTCGAACTCAGCTGCGTCTCAATTGCGTTCATCGAGTTGCAGCTTGTAATTGTTTTTCTTTAAAATGCCTGTTTAATTTAGATCAAGGTATGAGTCACACTTAACGGTTGTTTCATTATTTAGGGAGCCTGGGATAAATAACTGACTGTTTCATGTTGTGGTGTTCGACATAACAAATTTTTTAACTCCCGTAATTTTTAAATCTTAGATCATCTGAAGGACCCACTTGATGTGTTTCTTGCTGAAAAATACATGTTCCCCACGCGTCTCTACAGAATGCCCACAAGATCAGGTCTGATAAGGGGTCGTCTAAAGGGATCAGATATGGCAGAGACTCCAGTCATCATTTTCTTGGATGCTCACATCGAAGTTTCACACGGTTGGATTGAACCTCTGCTGTTCGAATTGACACAACACCGGTAATTTTATACTGTAGACTAGCAGCATATGTTTATTGATCGAAGTTGGTTGGTTGAAGTAGATTGGTAATTAAATCAGATATTTTGCTAAACATGTTTAATGAAATGTTTTAAGAGGATGAGAGCAATCATAATTGGAATGACTACAATAAAAGGTGATACCATTGCAAAAACGATGCTCAAAACATATTAAGTTTCCGAAATTTACTTCAGAAATTCTTCAGACTCAAATTCGCGTTCCGGAGATCAAAATGTCGTAAATTATTCGTCTTCATAAAATCACACCATTCTCTAATTGATATAAGCTAACAGTTGTGGTTTTCTGACTAAAGGTTTTTGGATCTAAATTGATTATGCATTCACTCAAACGAATCATTTGAATCATTCGCATGGCAACAGGGAGACAGCAGTTTCGCCCGTGATAGACACTATAAGTGACGAAAACTTCGCTTATTTGGAAGCAAGTATGAACATCTGGGGTGGGTTCAACTGGAGGCTTTCCTTCAGATGGTACCACGTGACAGAACCCCATGGCGGGTCTCTTAAAAGTCGCCGGCGCTTTCAAGAAAAAACTGAACCAGTCAGGTCAGCTTGTAGTAGCCACGGAAATAAGAATACAGAAGCAAGATTTAGTGGCCAAGTGTTAGAAACCAATACCCATAACATGCATGGATTTAGCTGGACTCTTGAATGCGCAAAGAATTTGACAATTTAGACTAAATATGAAAATGAAGTTGTTTTGTTTTGCCTAAAACGTTTGCAGTGCTTCAATTACGTCACAAATTTCAAAAACAATTACTATAAATCAACCTAATCTGATGAAATGAACATCAAAAATTAGTTCCTAATGACCTAAATTTTTGCCCTGCTTTTTAGTTGCTCTTCAGAAGCAGATTTTACTGGGTGTTTTTTCAGCAACGTGATTTGAGCACTGAGTAGGCTGAAATATATAAATAATTGCTACTGCAAGATGACTTGGTTTGTTTTGCTTGAATGCTCGGATGCTGCGCCTGCTGCCCATGTTCTCACTTGAA